TCGATTTATCTGGGTTGCGTTCTGGAGATCTTTGGGTATCCTTTCCGACCGAGTTGATCCGTATTCAAATGGGGGATGTTTCCATGATTGTGGGTATTCAATTACTGAGTCGTTTCGGTTCCATGATCGATTGTGAGGGTCAGCGTGTGGTGGTTCGAACCCCAAGTGGCGGAGAGCTGGTTATTTATGTAGAGGCCACCAGGATGGGTTCAGGGTTTTGTTCGACAGCCAGGGCTCGATAGTATATTCAGCATGAGTGTGTACTTTATTTGGCGTATGTGGTGGATACTCGTGGCAGGGATCCGGTGTCAGTTGCTAAAGTTCCGATTGTCAGGGAGTTCGATGATGTATTCCCAGAAGAGTTACTCGGTATGCCTCCTGAGAGGCAGGTCTAGTTCAGGATCGACCTTGTGTAACGCCCGCATTTCCAGGCTAGGCATTATTATTGATGTAATAGTTTAGGTTAACATTGTAACTATTTTTGAAGTCTTAATGATGAAATATTTGAGTATTATGTGAATCATATGATTTACGTGTTTGTTTTCTTAATTATTACAATTTAATGAATTAAGAATAAAATAAGCATCAAACGTAAAGTGTGAGATAAGCTCTATATCTTTTCTTAAAGATGTAGTGGTTGAAACAAGGATTCCGGAGATATAAAGAATGTCAAAATCGGAGTTATAACGAAGAAGTTATGACCTGTCAAAGTTTCGCGGCAGGACCGACACGATGCTGAGTGACATAAAATGTGAATTTGAGATAAAGCGATATTTAGCCTTAGTAATCTAAACGAATGTTTTAGAGTTCGTTAAACCGAGAGCGTGCATAAAAAGATCGTCCAAATCTGACTTCGTATGAGGAAGTTATGATTTTTCGAAATTTCAACTTAGTAGTATGCAGCCCGAAACTCAAATATGAGATCGTGTGATTTCTAGCTGAAGCAATCTAAACAAGAATCGAATATCTCATCATTAGTAGTGCAACTATAAAAAGACAGACGAAAACAAACGTCAAATGAATAAGTTATAAATTTATAACGGATTTTTCCTGTTTGGGCCTATTAAAAATAAATAATAAAAATAAATTAAAAATTAGCTAACAGAGTCTAAACGAAAGTTGTAGAACATAGTATCACCTACGCGTGGATATAAAGAACGTTGAAAACGGAGTTTGTATGAGGAAGAAATGAATTTTTGAAGTTTATTAAATAATTAAAATATTAAATTTAAATATAAATGTCCGATATTATCCGAAAGGGGGGAGTCACCGGTCTTATCCGGGTTACGCCCAATGTTCCTAAGATTACGCCCAGCTTAATCGAAGGTTTCAGCCCCTATACAAGGAAGTCGAGGCTACCGAGTTTCTTTGCTCCTTTTCTCTTCCCTCTCTCCCATTTTACCTCGTTTTTCGTGCAAGAAATATCCTGAAGCCCCGGTATCATCCCCGAGACCCGAAGTAAGTCCCGAATCCCCGAAGATCCCGAGAAGTAAAACTCTCGAGCCGAAGCTTTGCCCGCGAGAAGCCTGGTTTTTGTGAAGATCTCCCGGTTTCACTGAAGCATACTACTTCTACAAGCCATAGTGTCGTCCGATCATCTTCTGATCAAGTGAGTGTATAGTCCCTTTCATAAACATGATTTTAATACAAGTATTGCTTGAATGTATTAAGTATATGTTTTTTGTGAGTGTATAGTCACTTTCATCTTACACATAGATATGAAGTATTTTATAAAATACGTTCTATGTGTACATATATTGTTGTTTATACGTGTGAGTGTGTAGTTACTTTCTTCTAACGCATAATTATGAAGTATTTTATATGAAATACTTGTTATGTGTATATTTTGTTGTTATATGTGTGAATGTATATTCACTTTCTTCTATCTCATAGATATGATTTATTCTCTATGAAATACGTGTTATGTTTATGTGTCTCATCTTTTATCTGGAATGTGTTTTGAATGAACATACTATACAAGTTTTAAACTATGTATAAAAATGTATATTTTATGTACTAAAATGTTGGGTAGAACATGGGTAGATAGTTGTCCTGTGATAAAAAGATGAGAGGCCTCGATGTTTTTTATTTAGTCATCTAGTGGAGTTTAGATGATGACCATAGACTTTTCTAGACAGTCCTGTGGAACGCTAGTAGGCTCGCCACCTATAGGTGTTAATGAATTTGGGTGTTCTTTCGTTGTACTCCATCCCCCTCATGGTTGCCTTATTTGACGTATATTGCTGGGAAACCCCCGAAGCATGTGTTGTCGCCCCGATGAAATATTCTTAGACTAGGTCCCTTGTGTTAGTTGTTTTAGGGACTTAAAGTGAGAATAACAGGAATGGGTAATTGGGTTATTGTTTGATGAAAATTAATTTAATTATTTATTGTGGGTTGAAAACCCTATATGCTCACCAGGTATCCAAGCCTGACCCACTCAGTTTTATTTGTATTATAGGTAGTGGCGCCAGAGCATAAGTTGGATGAATTGGCAAGATTATTTTTGGATTATAGACCTGTTGTTATATTTAACTGTTGTAAGGTCTATTTTGTAATGTTTATGCTTTGGTCTGTTTATCGGAACATGACATCCCGAGTTTTATTATATAATGAAAATACATTTCTTTAAGAAATGCTTTGGTAAATCTTATATTATCATATATTTTTTTGGGAACAAATTCCGCAACTCTTTTAAATCAAAGGATTACTCTGAAATTATTTTAAAAGCATAAATTAAACCGGTATTTTCTGGCCGTGATTCTGGGGATGTCATACCTTGTGCCGGGTGCGGCCCCTATTGCCAAGGTGCCATACCGATTGGCACCGCTTGAGATGCAGGAGCTGTTATCTTAGCTGCAAGAGCTGCTAGGCAAGTAATTCATCTGTCTGAGCAGTTCTACGTGCAGAGCGCCAATTCTTTTTGTCACAAAGAAGGATGGTTCGCTCTGGATGAACAAGTTGACAGTTAAGGACCATTATCCCCTTCTGCGGATTGATGATCTTTTTGACCAGTTACAGGGAGCATCTTGGTTCTCCAAGATAGATATGAGGTTTGGGTACCATTAGGTTAGGGTGAAGGAGGAGAACGTGGAGAAGACCTCATTCCGGACTCATTATGGGCATTACGAGTTTGACAACACACAACCATCTGCCTCAGACGGACAAGCCTCCACCCATACACCATCTGCCTCAGAAGGACAAGCCTCCACCCATACGCCAACAACACAGACGTCAAATCAAATAATGGGAACCGTAGCGGTAGCAAACGTCACCTTATGAAGATCGTCACCCATTACAACAGTGCAATTAGTTATAACCATGATCACCATGTCTTAGTTTACAACGAATCAATAGTCACAACCATTGAACCAATAGTCAGAATTGTCAACTTAACAGTTGCATTCGACAGTTTCTCTGCCGCAAACGCGACCACAACAGGCGGGGATGAAAACTTGGTCCCTAGGGACCATACTGTCCTCCATACAATACCCAATGTCAAGCTATCAGTTCTATTCAGTAGTAGGAATGTCGCATATTGCACTTTTTGCTCAACAACCTCCGATGTTAAATCCTTATTTTCAGTAGTCGCACAGATCCAACTACCAACCACCGTCGTTGCAAGGGTCTAACCTTCACTTGTCATCGACGCAAAACCTCAACACCCTTGCTCAACAACCTCAAGGGCCAATTCCAAACATACTCCATTAGCTAGAATAAATCTCACAACTAGAGTAAAGCACACAATCAAGCTCCAAAAACAACCATACATCTCACATGCAACAATGTACAATCAAACATATAGGAATCCATATTACACTCAATAGTTTATGATGTACGGTGGTTTCCTATACTCTCGCATGGAAAACCTGGTGAGAAGCACCACTTCTGCCTTTCACCAGGAGCTCTTGCTATATGAGATCCCACACTCGGCAATGATACCAAATATCCCTAAGTATGACGGAACAACTGACCTCGACGAGCACGTTGACACCTATGGGTGGATGATGACATCACTGAGGATGGAAAAGCGGTTCATTTGTAGGTATTTCCTTATTACGTTATCTGGAGACGCCGGAAAATGGTTCAAGGTGCTGCGACCGGGCAACATCTCAAGTTTCGAAGAACTACGATACCTTTTACTCAACAATTTCATGCGACCGAGTAAGGGGAAGGGAGATGCAAACTCCATAATGGCATGCAAGAAAAAAGAAGGAGAGTCAATAGGGGCATATAACAATAGATTCACATTGGCGAAACTCAAGGTCTCGGGCCATGTAGATTTCCTTGTAACTGGCGCCTTCTCCCAAGGTCTACTCCCCGACCCTTTGTCAAAGACAATGCAGGGGATGATACCTCAGTTGAGAGACGAGCTCAAATATAGAGTTGAGAAATACCTCTGATAGATCGAGGGTAAGGAAAGGAAATAAGCCAACCTAAAGGCCGTCGCAAACACGTACATCAAGCAAGAAGAAGCAAACACACAATCCCCAACCACCGGGATAACCATGAAAGAAACCACGATAGAAGCCATGACAAGCACAACCATCACACAAGACAAGCATCTCGTAGGTTTCACCCATTTGGTAAAGACGAGCCCCGGAACCACCGAACTGAAGTGCACACAGTCGAGAAAACATCTCCAAAGGTGGAAAAAGAGAAGGGGGAATATTGTGAATACCACAAGAGCAAAACCCATGATATCGGCGAGTGAACAGTTCTAAGGAAGGAAATGGAGAAGAAACATCTAATGGGCGGCCTCACGGAAATTGCAAAAGATTTGAGGTCCAAGTTTGACGCTCACAAGAGGAACGCGCGAGATCGGAAAGATACTTGCAAACACCAAGTTAAGGAGGAAATTATTACAATCATGGGACCTCACAAGGAGAGCGAGCGCTAAGAAGCAGACGACAATATCGAGGTACTACCTAAAAACATACTCAATATTAGCTTCTCATCAAAAGATCCACAAATGTTTAACTGGAATGCCATGGATCCACTCATGACAACTGCCTACGTGCACCGAAAAAAAATTCATCGAGTGCTAATCGATAACGACAGTAGTACCGACATTCTTTACGAGCCGTGTTTCTGCCAACTCCTACCCCATGGACAGAAGATCTAAAACCCTGAACCATGGGTCCACTTTTCAGGATTACAGGACATCAGTTATGGCTGCTAGGCACCATAAACCTTCCACTCACCCTAGTCATCCATGATGAAAGGGAAAAAAGAACAAGGGTAATAGAGTTCTCGGTAGTATGTCGCCCAAACGACGATGATATGCTCCTCGGATGACCAGCTCTCTTCCAGTTCCAGGCCATACCATCTGTAATTCATGAAATGGTGAAGTTTAGTACAAGCATAGGGTCATCCACAATCATCGACTTCAACTCCTACACACAACATCGTTAATCCATCGCTACATTGTAAACAACGCATGTTCCAAAGAAACAAAGAACGAGGTGCCACATTAAGAAGCATTTGATCATGAAGACTACCACACAAGACCAAGATGACAAGAAAAAGAATGCCTTGATTAAAGAAAATCAGGGGGAGGGCCCAGTAGCAGCAACACAACTACGTTGGAAGTGGCAAAGGCAGTTAGCATGAACACTCACCAGGGTTTGACATCTTTAAGCTTACTTATGCACTATTTGACAATAAGAAACCACGGTGGGTGGAAGCAGGAGTGTATTAGTCATACCATCCCGAGCGAGGATGCGTCAACATGCAACACAAAAAGACCCCAAGGATCTAGAAAAAACATAAAACAAGGTCCAAGAATCACACTCAAAGAGTAACACAACAACCGAATAAAAGCTTGGGACGAACCCATGTAAAGAACAGGAAAGAGAAGTAAGAAATTGATGACCCTCAGTGAGCCCCCTCTCACCTACAAGACTAAAAACCAAAAGGTTCGGAGACACCGAGACACATAGCAAAGAGTGACACACATGCACACGGATCACAAGGTTGAGCAGGCTCCCCAAGAGGAAACTACGAATGCCGACGCAACATTGTTCGACAAGCAAATATAAAAATAGGTCAACTCAAAACAAATCGCTGAAGCCACGAAAACCTTCAATGGGTTCAAATCGTGCTCAGATCACCATCCGTACGAGCCGCTCCCAGTTAAATCCCCAAATAACGGTGCACGGGGAGGCCTGAGAGTTGTGTTAAAGCGATGCAGTTAGGAAGAGTAAACCACTTTCCCGCAGAGAAGAACCAGGCAGACAAAACCGAGGTATGATGGGATATAAGAATCGTCTTCAAGAGGACAACTGAGCTAGGAATGCTAACCTAACACGCACAAAAACATGGTCAAACCCTGGGGAGGCATGCCAGGGGAATATCTAGGGTTCTACGACACATACGTCATAGGACCGCCCCGCATCGAAGTAGTGTCATACAACTTGATAAGAGATGCAATAACAATGTCACCACTTAGGGTTACAAGCAGGTCGTTGTGAACGCCAAACTTTGGCAATAACACCAACAAGACGAAACAACATTTAGACATGAGTAGGCTCAACAAGTAGGATGCCACCAGGGAATGTATGAGTAGGATTATAAACGCACCTCAAGGGGGAGTTCATGCCTCGAGGGCCCAGGGTCAAGGATCTACTCCTGCGACCTAGGGCACACGCAGTCTGTAGCAACGTGTACACCACCACCCCTAGAGCGAGGGGAAAAGCCTAGACATAGAACATATGGGGGAAAAGGAAATGTGATAAAACTCTGAATAGATAATCACATCCCATTGGTCCAGCCCAAGAGCTAGACCTTGGCTTGCACTAGAATCATCTCTCTTTTGTTACTTACCAAACAATGTAGATGTTTCCAAAATACTATCAATGAAGTAATGAAAGTTGACATTTCAAAAAAAAATTGTTAGAATGTTCCTATTCAAGCTTGATATCATTCACATAAGAGGTTGTGCACATTTACCAAATGATAAGAAGGCCTGATCATCCACATCATTTGAGTGAAACTGTTGTGGGGATGTAACCATAAGCTTCAAATGCTCATAACTTTTCCCTAAAATGTGTTAGTTAAGAAAAAAGAACCACAACTCCTGATCGTAGCATAAATAAAAGCTTCAAAGGATCATAACCTTTCCAATGAAACAAGTATCACCTAAGTCCCCAAGCCTCGAGGTGACGATCTCGATATGACTTAGACAATTGGGCTCAGAGTACGAACCTTCGAGGACCTGGACTTAGAACAAAGTCCTAAAAGAGTGATCAGTAAACCATAGCTAAAAAGGACACCTTAACAAAGAAAACTGGACAAAATACCTTAATCTAAAAACAATGGTCTAGGACTTAAAGAAGGGACTAATTCCAAGCCTACAACGTGAGCTCATGGGATAAGACCAAAAGACCCTAGACGAATACGATTCCTAAGGCCGAGAGCGGGACAAATCCAACAAGTGTGGCCAAGCTAGCAAATAGACAAATGCCCGTCATGAAATATAACCCAACCCTCCACAAGGTAAGGTCGATCTGTTTCAGGTTAACCCCCATAGCCAAAGTGAGCCTGGGGAAGAATCGCCCTAAAAAGGGATAATATGGGTAAAAGAACCATGATGGCCAACATAAACCACCTGGGATAACGAGCAATAACATAGCAAATGACCTATGACATACACATCATTAAAAAAAGAGAGAATAAACAAAAAGTGTACTGTTTTCCGGACAGATCCCAAACTTGAGGAGAGGGCCATGAAGGGCCCTAAACAAATTCAAAATTCATAGATACAAACTGTTCCCTAAACACCAAAGCAGTACATATATTGTCTCAAATGCTAGGAAGCATGGAAGAGATAAGGAATTACATACCAAGAGGAGTGGAGGAAGGCCCAACCCCAGAAGTGCTACCCTTAGGATGTTTCCCTTCATCATCAAGGTCACTACACAACCGGTGTAGACCCTCCATGTAGAGCTCGCCAAGGTGGAGGTAGGAGGAAAAATCCATCTCCAGAAAAGCCTTTACCTCAGCAGGCATCGTTTGGGAGTGTTCCATAAGGGCGCTTGGTTCACTAGGTATGAACTTTACAATGGAAATATACTCCTTAATCACATGTTTCCCACCCTCACCCTAGAAGCCATGCATGCTGCCTTCATATGCCTAACGCCCAAAGAAAATTCGACACTTTTAACCACTTTGTCCACAACACGGACAACGCCCTTCTGCAAGAGCCACGCGACATCCTCCTCCACTTTCTTCCTCTTGATTTTCTCAGCCACTAACTGGCTCCACTTTGTCTCCACTTGAGTCTCCAATGCTTTGTTCTCCTCCACCGAAGTCGTGATCCACTGAGAGAAACGCTCCACTACCCCATTGAAAGTTGACACCTACTCCTCCAAAGATGCTTTCTCTCCAGCCATAAGTTCATAATTCTCCTCTAATGTATGTTTTTCCTTTTCCAACTCCAACAACTTCATCCTTAAATTATCCTGCTCAGCCCAACAGAAGAAAGTTCACAAAAATATGAACTAACCTAGCATAAGGGCCGAGCAGCAACAACCATATAAGAAGCAACTTGAGCTGCCACATACTGAAGGCTATAAGACATGTGAGAATTAGAGAGAAGCTCCAAAGCATCAATAGTAGTGGGGGGAAAGGAAGGGCAACCCCACTCGTATGTAACATAATGCCGCGCAAGGAGGGACTCTCGAGTAAGTCCCTATTCTGGCACGTAAATACTAGGGGTCACTAAAGCATCAATAGTAACGGGGGGAAAGGAAGGGAAACCACACTCGTATGCAACATAATGTTGCGTAAGGAGGGACTCTCAAGTAAGTCCCTATTCTGGCACGTAAATACCAGGGGTCACCGAAGGAGCGGAGGAAGAACCCATAACAACACCATCCTTCGTCAAAAGCAAAGTTGGATCAGGAGAAACTTGGGAGATATCATCTAAAACAAGCCCGAAGACACCCTCATCGGGGGTAGCAGTATCTTTGGGCTTCTTCTTGGGTACACGAGGCTGTTATGTCACCTCTTCATGTGTTCCCTCAAACAGTTTGAATGGGTCATCATTGGGAACATCCAAAACTACATCGAACTCTACCAATAGGAAGTCCATTTTTTCCCTCTTACAGAGGCACCAACTAATAAAGCTAGCACCGGTACCTTCCGTAGGTGAGGAGTTTAACCACGCAAACCGCTGCTTTGAGGATGAACTGCCCTATCTAGTCACCAACTCAATCGAGGGCTTGTCCTCATGATCGGAGGGCAAAGATCATCGTGAGAAGCTCCCCCAACGGGCATGTCAACCAACACCTAATCGGCCTGGGACCTGGATCCTTGCGCATGGGAAATAGCAGGCCCAACAAGGGCCATGACACAATCAATGCAGACTGGTGGATGAAGCTCATCCACAAAGAGCAGCTCCCGATGCTAACAACTGCCCTGGAACCGATCCATCAAGACCATCTTGAAAGGGATAATCCTCTTGCGACCTGCAACTGAAACACAAAACAACATAATTTGGGAGATCCAAAAAATCATCAACCCTAACACATAAATATATACATAAAAAACCAAAAGAAAAAAAGGTGGGGGAGGTGAGGAGAGACACTCACCATCCTTCTCAACGAAGAACTGAGACATCGCCGCATGCGCCCTCCAGATGACGCTCATACCAATAGCGACCAACATGCAGTCTTCCAGTACTCCCTATTAAAAGAAATGGTCTTCAGTGCGTTGGGTACATTTTGCTGGCTCCCCAAAGGGCATGTTCCCGATCAGTGAAGTTGCTACGGTGGGGATAGCGATGGTCAACCAAATCATAGTTTACCCATAGCCATTTATCTTGCTAATTATTTTTTGGGGCCTTATGATTTATGATGAACGCGTGGATGCACCACTATTGAGAGAATGTGTGCACGCTAGATTGGTTCGACGAGTTGAAGAAATACTTAAAAGCCTAGAACTGGGGATGCACACCTAAGACTCGACACACCATCTCAAAGCCAATTATCTTGTTGATAGCGTTGAGAGTTAGATCGTCAAAGGAGAAGCCATACAGGTGCATGATGTCGTCAAAAAAAAAAATAGTCATTAGCAGCTAGAGCCCCGCTTCAAAGATCTCTTAGGGTGCAAAGTCACACTTGGATGTATTTGTGCTTTACTCACTTGTATTGTGTGATGAGTTGTCTTTCCAATAAATAGGAAGTGAGTAACACTCATTTATGTATGAGAACCATTTGGAGTGTTAGACTAGAGAGAGAATTTGTACAAGACCCACTTTGAATATTCTTTCTGTATCTAATATGAGCTTAAGCAAATTTATTTACTTGATGTGTTCTTGTGATTACATGATGATTCACTAGATCCTTTCTAATTCTGCACAAGCCATCAGAATCAACACCGTTACAATTGGTATCAGAGCGGGAGTTATTGATTCAATCAAGAATTGATCCTTGATGGAATCTAGATTTGGTGATTCTTCATGTTCTTATTGATATTCTTGATTAGAGAGTGTTTTGTGTTCTAGAAATCGAATTTTTCTTGATTTGATCCATAATTTGATTTTATCTCCCTAGAATACTTGTTTTTGCCACTTTCTCTCACTAGAATTTGGTACATATTCACTTTCTCTCTCTAGAGATCTCCTTGATTTTTACTTTATCTCTCTAGAAACCCAAGTTCATATCATTTGATTCAAAAGGAAAGAAGTAATTATGAAGAAATGGTTGATACATAATGAGATTCTCTAGGAGAATACACTTTTGAATCCATTCTTTATTGCTTGACTGTTGGATTGATAAGTGAATATACACTCATTTCAAATGGAGAAAAGAATGAGGTTGGACAATTAATTAGTTATCCAATTTATCAAACCAAAGATTTGTTTTATCAATTGATTACAACGTATCAAGAAAGATGAAGAAATAAGAAAGAAGGTGAAGCCATAAAAGAAATGAAGCTCAGGAACATGTTCTTGATGATGATCATCATGTTCTTGATGTTCAAGAAAAAGGAGTTCAAGTTGATTCTTATGATGAAAAAGTTTTTTTATTGATCGGAGTTCAAACTGATGATATTTTGTGTTCTTGTGATTCGTTTGAAGGGATAATTCCTTATCGAAAACCGGTGATCCAAGAAATTCACAAATATCAAACTCCAAAAGATTTGATTTAAATTCATAAAGTTGATGTTGTGAAAAGCGGGTTTGTTCATGAAATCAGGTCTTCAAGATGCAAAAAGATGAGAGAAGTAGATTAAACGAAAAAACAAGTGGGTTTATTTACAAAAACCATCAAATGTTATGAAGTCAAAATCCGTAAAGCAAATTTGGGTTCGAAAGCAACAATTTTCAAAGGTTTCATTGAATTTGAAGTTAAAACCCAAAAGTGTTGGTAGTTCTTTTGAACATGTTCTTAGATCGTTGAAGAACACAAAGAACAATTTGTACATCATGCATAGTGGGTGGTACAATGTTCAAATTGGAGATTTTCTCGTTCTAACAAAAGAGCCAAGATCTTCTAAATTAGATTCGTTCATTGAAAATGGAACTCGATTCATCAAAAGGTATCACAAATTCTCAAATGGATTCCATAACGTCCATGATTTCGATTCGTGCTTTTTGTTTTTCATTTTTGATCGATTTGTTTCGTTCGATCTATTATGTTTCAATCCATTGTTGATCCATTTTTTTTGTTAGATCAAAATCTCAAAATCAAAATCATAGTCTCAAAATTTCTTTAATCCAAGATTCAAGCCGAAATGTCACACCCCCGAACCGTCAGAACGGACGGCGGAAATGTCCGGGGGCGGGTGATGTCATGTTTAGTATCACAACAATCTTATCATAGCAATCAAAGTAAATAAACCATTACATTACAATATGAATATTTATATCTGTTTAAAAATATAGTTTGTATACATCAAAAGTAGCAAAAGATAAGGATGAGACTCCAAAATACTCCATCTTCTCCAAAAGCTGGCAAAAGTACCTGTCTATCGTTGTCCTGAGAATACAAGCGGTTTTGAAAACGTATCAGCATAAAGATGGTGAGTTCATAAGCATGTTTTTGTATTGGAAATTAGTCACTAAATTTATACAAAAGATTTCTTTTCATTATAAGTAAATATCGTTAGTATCAAAACCCTGGTTACCATCGGTAAGTAAAGTATGTTCCGTTTGAAAACCCTGGTCACCGCCAGTAAGTAAAGTAGTTTTATTACTTAAAATGAAACCAAAGGTTGTGTCCCTGGAATACCCTCCAGTAAAACAGTAGGTAGTTTTATTAATTAAAATAAAACTATTGAAGAAGGAAAATCCCATACAAAAGGTTAGTTTATACTTATTGTGAGTCGTATAACCATGCTAAATGACTGATGACCTCCTTGACGTTACTTTAGGCATCGTACGATTCCAAAATTTTTCACCTCAAGCATGCCTTCCTAACTGTAGTTAACAGTTCAGGTGTGGGATTGTCGGTCCCAAATCTATTCACAAATATCATGCTCTCCATCCAGGAGACTCTGGTTATACTAAAGGTGAGGATTTACTCGTACCCCGAAGGGTACAATGAAGATAGGTATCACAATCCTGTATGAACTAGTCTACGTGTGGTTCGGTTGTTCTCGATTTCAAAATCGCTTGTATACGGTGTAGAGTACAAATAATTACGCGCAAAATAATTATTTAGTAAGATACTCTTGTTATCTAAATGTAATATGGATAAACTAAATTTGCCATAGTTTATATGTTTGACTTTGTACGTAGTTTGAATCTGTAAAACTGGTAATGAAATCCCCAAACTATACCTATTATAGTTTGACTGGTTTGTTATGTTCATGTACTGTTCTGAAAATTATGCAATTACGTTTAGAAAACCTCCCTTATGCTCCACATATTACAAAAGGGATAAAATATCTAAATGTTTAATGTAAAACTGTTGAAATCACATTAGTTTATAACTTGTGAAAAACCTTTAGGTTTGGCTTGTATTCCCCCAGAAAATGTTTTAAAAATTATAAAAGCATAGGTGTATGAACTCACAGTTTGT